GCTATGACTGATGGTGGACAGTCACAACTGAACTATTCTTAATCTTCTTCCTTTCAGCTAGGTGCACCCAGTACTTATTCCTATGCATGTTCTCTTACTCTACTATAAATTGAATTTTATTGAACTAGGTTTATTTCTCATAGACATTTGTGGTAGACCTGTTTATTTACTCATATCAATGCAAAGAATACTGGGCCTAGAGTCAGGAAAACCTGAGTTCATATCCAGCTCAGATACTCACTGACTGTGTGATCTTGGGTAAGTCACTTAAACTTTGCCTCAGTTTCCTCAACTGTAAAAATGGAGATAATAACACCTATCTCCCAGGGTTGTTGTGAGGGTCAAATAAAGATAACATTATAAAGCATTTAGTACAGTGCTTGGCATGTATTAGTTGCTATATAACTACTAATTACTGTTGTTGTTGAATTAGGTTTTAGGATAAGCACTGACCATTTCCTTTTATTAGTCCTTTACTTAGTTGTGAGTAAAACTGTATAAGAGACTCATATGATAAATCAGTCAAGTTGCTCTGTGTCTTCTGAAGCCACAGCTACAGAAATGGGGTGGCAGAGTGATGAGAGGTAACACTTTCCTCTGGACCAATTCCAGTTTTCAATGAACATCTTATCTTAAATTGAAGCACCCAGAATGGAACACAATATACCAAGTATGGTTACATCAGTGCCAAAAAAAGAGATCAATAATCTTTTTTGTCCTGAATACCATTAGTACTATCAGAGGTTGCATTAGCTCTCTTGATAGGCATCTCATACCATTGATTCATATTGAGCTTGTGGTAAACTAATATCTTTCTGTCTTTTTCATATGAAATACTGTTACAATGCCTCTCTGTCTTACTTTTGATGATAGTTGTGTTTGACCTAAATATAGACCATTACATTTTTTCTTATAAAATTTTATCTTATTAGTTTGGGATCATCCTTTCACCTCATTGAGATTTTTTTGAATTCTGGTTCTATCATTCACAAATTTCATAAAGATGTGTTCTGTATCTTTATATAAGTTGTTGACAGCTATATTGAACAGTATAGTACTAAAGAAAGTGATATATGACATATCACTAGATACTTCCCTCCAGGATGATATCCAAATATTCTTTGTTATGAGTATCAAAATTCAGTTTTCAACAACCTACAAATTCACCTAACTGTAATACCATTCAGAACATATTTTCCCTTCTTCTGCACAAAGATAGCAGAAATAAATACTGTGCACATTTGTTCTGTGCACAGTGGTCCCTTGTTGTTACTGATTGAGCTTGGCATGTCTTGTTTTTATTGACCCTACGTAGGCTTTTTGCTTTCCTTTTAAATGATCAGACTCACAGAATCAGAATGTTGGAAGGGGCCACAGCAGCCTTTAGTCAAATCCTCTCATGGAAGTAAGCCTCGTTGTTACATATCTGGCAAGATATGATCATGTATCCTTTTCTTTAAGATGCCCAAAGAGGAGGAACTTATTATCTCTCAAGGCAGCCCATTTGACTTTTGGACAGATCTATTGTTGGAAAGTTTTCCCATGTGTCAAGACTAACTTTGCCTCTTCTAGCTTCTATCCGTTGTTTCTGGTTCTGCCATTTTGGGCCAAATAGAATAAGTTTAACATCTTCTCTACATGATATCCCCTCTAATATTAAAATACAGATACAACATCTTCTTGAGTCTTGTCTTCTGTAAGCTACATATGTCCAGTTGTTTTAGCCATTCTTCACATGACATGAACTTGAGAGCATCCTGGTCAACCATTCACAATCCTGGCTCCCTTCCTTTGGATATTCTGTGGCTTATCTATATCTTTAAACTATGGCACCTAGAAATGAACACAGCAATCCCAGTGAGGCCAAATAAGAGCACAGCATAATGGAACTAGCACCAACTTATACTTGGAAGCTCGGTCTCTCCTTATGTAGCCCAAGATTTCACTAGCTTTTTTGTTTGCTGTTGTATACTTCTTTCTAATCATTCTCCCCCATCTTATACTTGTAAAGTTTGTTTTTTGGTATCCAAGTGCAAGGCTTTATATTTATCCCTATTGAATTTCATTTTATTAGATTCTAAACTACAGCCTATCAAGATCTTTCTAGATCCTGTTTGTTAGCTATCCCAACCACCTTTGTGTCGTCTAAAAAGTGTAATGAGTATGTCATATATGCCTTTATTCAAGTCATTTATAGAAATGTTAAATAGCTCAGGGCCAAGCATATGTCCATGAGGTCATCTACCAGAGCCCTGTTGTTATATTGGCATTGAACCATCACTAGGCAGGGGGTGGTCTTGGAGTTAGGAAGAGCCAAGCTCAAACTCCCCTCAGACAGTACAAGCAAGGCCCTTAGCCTCCCTTAATCTCGGATTCTGCACTTTGGGAGGCTCAAGTGAGATGTAAAGCACTTTGAAAACCTTATAACACATAAAATGTAAGCTATTATTACTCGTTGCTAGTATTACTCTTGGAGTCCACCTATGCAACCCGTTTTGAGTGCATCTAATGGTATTATAGTCCACATCTTTCTCTTTTCCACACCAATAGTATGAGATTTGTCAGAAATTTTGCTAAACTCTAGGTGAAGTATCTCCACATCATTCCTACCATCTACTAGTTGTCATTATGTCAAAGAAGGAAATGAGGTTAGTCTGGTATACCTGTCCTTGATAAAGCCATGGTGGGTTTTTATAATCACTACTTCCTTTTCCAGATGTTCACCAGCCATCTTTTTAATAATACATTCTAGAATTTTCCCAGTAGTAAAGCTCACTGGCTAGTAGTTTGAAGATTTTGTATTTTTCCCTGTTTCTGGAAGTTGGGACACTTTCCTTAGAATATTATGGGCAGCAGTCATATGTCCATATCTGATTTTCCATGATTTTTCAGATATTACTGACAACGGCTTAGCAGTCACATCTGCCAGTTCTTTCAGTAACTCATCTGTGCCAGATTATTTGAATTCGTCAAGGGCAACTAGGTTCTTTCTTAGTATATTCTTACTTGTCTTGAGCATGGGCTCCCTCTTAGTCATTTTTGTTCTGTGTTTTTGACTATGTAAGTCATTCTCTTTGGCAGAAAAAAGAAGCAAAATAATAATTGATCAGGGCTAACTTCTTTCTGAGGTCAATTACTGTTATCCCTTTCAATTGAAACAAAGGTTCTGTTCTTTCTTTGATCCACCTTTTCCCACTAGTTTCCTATTCTGTAAAATGGAAAAAAATTTATTAAAAAAATAGCCTACCTCACATGGATGTGGTGAGAATCAAATGAAATAATATTTGCAAAGTGCTTAACACAGTGCCTGGTACACAGTAGGTGCTATATAAGTTCTTCTTCTTCTTCTTCTTCTTCTTCTTCTTCTTCTTCTTCTTCTTCTTCTTCTTCTTCTTCTTCTTCTTCTTCTTCTTCTTCTATCTTTAAAAAAATCTTTTGTTATCCTAGTCTTCTTCACCAGCTTCAGATCATTCTGGCCTTTAAAACTCATGACACTATTTTTCATGAGACCATAATACACTCTTATATTTATCTTCTGTTACCTGGTCTTGCTTTCATCTTCTTTACAAAAATCATATGATTAATAATACAAACTAGAATATTTATGAGGTTCACCATCAAATTCACTGGTCCCTAGGTCTGGAATTTATTTTTTCCTCTTTCTGAAAATTTTTTCTCCATTCTTTTGGTATCATCCTCCTTGAGACTTCAGAAATACTGACATCAGTTCCTCAATCACTTTTGTTAAGTTCTCTCAGTACTCAGGGCCATAATTTGCCTGCACCTTGAGGCTTGAACTCATTTAGAGCAGCTAGTGCTCACTTCTATCAACTCACCTACCTTCAGCCCACTTACCTTGTAGTCAGATTGGTTAAAACTGTGTCAATTTGAGGCCCATTCTCCTTGATAGATAATATGAAAGCAAGTAGGAGTTTAGTTCATTATTTTTTCTATAAATTGACACTACAACATCAATCAGTGAACTTATTCATTTCTTCTTGCTATGACATGCTTTTTAAAAATGAAATTTTATTTTTCTTACCTTTTTTTTTTTTAACAGACCTCAACTTATTCTGGACTTTAGCTTTTCTGATAAATTATAAGTTCAGTTCAATTTAACTCACATTTGTTATGCACCTACTAGGTTCCTGGAAGGATGCTAGGTACTGAGTATACAAGTAAGAAAAAGAGATACTTTAGTCCCTACCCTCAAGCAGTTTACCATCTAAAGAGGGAAGAAAACACACAAAAGGAGGGTGAAAAGGAGGGGATGTAGGTTGTTCCACAAATCAAAGAAAGGTTTTGGGAGGAATTTAGTGCACCACCCTCTGGTCCTCCAATATGAGAGGAGAGGAAACTGAGGGTGAGTAGAAAGGGTCTAGGGTATCTAGACCTGGGTCATTCTTCCTGGTGAAGACATTTCAGGTGATCAGCTTATTGTAGGTGGGGAGGGCATATTGTGCATGGAATAGAAGCCAAGCAGAGCTGCTGCTGAAAAATAGAGTCCAAGACACTGACTCTGTTTTGTAAGTATCTTTGGATATATGTACCCTCTTCCATCTTTTGTACCATGTCCTTCAAAAGCTCACTATAGAGTTTCCTTATAGAGTTTGTACTATGTTCTTCAAAAGATTACCATAGAATTTCCTTTCCCTAGATGTCCAGCCCTCTTCCTCAAAGCTTCCTAAGATCATTTGTTCTTGTGAAGTTAGAATATTATTTTGAGTACTCCCATCACTGACTCCCATCAGTCTTCCCATTTAGAATCTCTGGTTATGGGATCATTCCTAGATTTTATCTGAATTCTTTGAGGTTTATTTTCTTAAATCCTAGGATATGCATATGACCATTCACTTTCTTTGGTATTTCAAACTCTAAACCTTCAATTTTTGTCTAAGTTTCCATCTTTTCAGTTTACTAATTATATTTCTTTTTGGTTAGAATCAAAATCATGGAATTTTAGCTTTGGAAGGGTAATTTATCTGTTTCTTCTATGACAGCAAAAGAAAAACTGGAGAAGAAATACACTTTTGAAAGGTTCTGGGATGGAGCTTAAGGTGGAATTGCAAAAGATTCCCCTTTTCTGGAATTTGGTAAAAGCAGAACAGAAGCCAATGTACTAGAGGGAGGCACTCCTTATGCATAAGCCACTGCAACTCCTATCATTGCAGGAGGATCCAGATGGTAAGTAGGAGTTGATGGGGGCTGAGAGCTTTCTGGTTTCTGCTCCAAAAGGCATTGAAGATTTATTTTCACTGCTTTTGATTGGTGGCAATCTCCTGAGGAGGTGATGCAAGAAGATGCCTGTGTGCCTTATATCAGATAATCAACAGCAGTTTTTTTTTTTTAAAGTTCAATGGGAATTAGAAACTATGGGACTATAAACCTGTAATATAGAAGCTACTGATGCAAATACTAAGTGGTGTCACCATAGCAACTCCTTTTGCACACAGAATGCTGTATTTAACCTTAGGGGACTTTAACAGCCTTTCATTCCTTAAATAGCTAAGTATTAGAGTGTAATTCTTTTAAATTAATTACAATGCTTCTTCATTTTTGTAACAATTGATTTTTGTTAGAAAAAATATTAGTGCCTTTTCCTAGTATAAAATTTAACTAAAGTAACCACTTGTGTTTGAATTCTTAAACGAATTGGTTTTTTAATACTGTCATAAAGATGCTTTAAAAGGTAAGCCCTTGAAAGGCAGAGACCATGGTTCTTTAGCTTCTTTTGCACCGTGGTCAAGCCCCAATGAAGAGCTGTGGGTGCTTAATACATACAATTTAATATCATCTGATGTTTTCTATGGGCACCTAGTGGCAACTACAATAAAAAGCACGTTTCAAAGATTTTCCCCTTTGAGGCTTATAGAATTCTTTCATGTTTATATCTTTCCTTTTAATATCCATATTTTCCTTTAAAAGAGGAGGGAAAAACATGATACTCAAATAAAACAATGATTTTATGATTCCATTTTGTTGACCAAGTGCTGTAGTGTAAAACAGTATTAGGAAAGGAATTTTATTCTATTCCACTGAAAATCTCAGAATGTCAACATTTTGGTAAAAAGCAAAGAAAGAGTTGGAAGAGAAAAAGGAAGGAGGGGGGAATAGGAGGAAAATAAGATGAGGAGGAAAAAGAGAAAGAAGAAAAAAAGAAAAAGAAGGGGAAAAAGCAATCCATGTCTAATTTTTTTAAATGAATCTAGCCTGTTGTTGTTCAGTTGGGGTTTTCTTGGCAAAGATATTGGAGTGGAAAACTGTTTACTTCTTCAGTTCATTTCACAGGGGAGGAAACTGAGGTAAACACTTTCCCGGGCTCACACAGCTCTAAGACTGAGGCTGGATCTGAATTCGGGTCCTCCTGACTCCAGGTGCAGAACTCTATCTGCTGAGCCACCTAGCTGCCCGTAGCATGTCTAATTTTTATTTAAATGAATCTAGGAGATGACATTATTAATCTTTCATTCAAGGTTTTTCCTTCTTCCTGGAAAATGAGAGAACAGAAGCTTCCTTTGACCTTTATAGCATAAGTCTCAAAATTCTCCATAGACAGAATTTTTCTAGAATTAGGAACCTCTTTAGTCCTAGCGGAGAACTGGAACAAAGTCTCTTTCCACTATTAGGCCTAAAGCATGGGCTGTCAAAACAGGATGGGGAGGTAGGAAAGAAAGGGAAAAGAGAGGGAGTAGGAGAGCTGTGGAAGAGAAAGAGACGATTTAAAGTAAGCACAAGAGGATAAAGAATTTGAAGTGGAAGAGTTGCATCAGGTAAAGTATGGTGCCTTAGAGAACCATCAGCAACTGCCTCTGGAATCAAAGGTTCTCAATTTTTGCTATAAATTAAATCAAATTCAAACACAGAAGCTCAGCCGGACCTCAAAGGCTGGTTAGTCCAACCTGTACTTGAGTAGAAATCCCATCTGCAACAGACCTGGTTATTGATTACAGGGTCACAGGATTAGAGAACCGGGTAAGACCTTAAAGCCAATCTCATCCAACCCCCTTATTTTACGGATAAGAAAACAGAGACCCAGGGAGGTTAAATGATTTGCCCCTAGTCACATAGATAGTAAGTGGCAGAAGCTAAGCCTTTTATTTTAAACCACATCTTTCCATTACCCTATGTTCACCTAGCTTTTGCTAAAATACCTCTACTAGCTATATTAGGTTTGGTGTTTTTTTTCCCTTTATATCAAACCAAAATCTGCCTCTCTTTAAGCTCCACCCACCTTTCCTCCTTCTAAACTCTATGGTCTAACAAAGCAGCGTTAATCCTTCTTTCCACTGAGATAGCTTCCAATACTTAAGGGCAGTTCTTAGGCAGGAAGATGACCTAAAACTACTCTTCCTGGCTAACCATTTCCAGTTCATTCAAACAGTCATCTTATGGCACTAACTTGTGGTCATTTACCATTCTGGTCACCTTCCTTTGGATGTTAACTAGTTTATCAAAATGTCCCTCCCAGAATTGAACATAGTACTCTAGACCTGGTCTTAGAATGACTGTCCATTCCTGCATCTGGACACTATTGAGATGCTTAGATACTGGGAAGGAGGATTGAATTTGTTGATTTGTTAATTTGGAGGCTGTTTTGTTTCTGTTCAATTTTTTTTTAGCTTATGCTAGTATAATTTTGGGTGGCTAGATGGCACAGTAGATACAGTGCAGAGCCTGGAGTAAGGAAGACTCATCTTCCTGAGTTCAAATCCGTCCTCAGATACTTACTAGCTGTGTGACTCCAGGCAAGTCAGTTAATCCCATTTGCCTCAGTTTCCTCATCTGTAAAGTGAGCTAGAGAAGGAAATGGCAAACCACTCCAATACTTGCCCCAAAATAAAACACTCAAAAGGGGTCACAAAGAGTCAGACAAGTCTGTAACAACTAAACAACAACAGTATAATTTTGTGTGTATTTTTATTTTACTTTCTTCCTCTTTGGTTTATTTACCTGGTATAGAGTAAAATTATATTAAGGGCTTTTAGTTCTGACAGCTTGAGAAAGTGACCCTTAGGTGACCAGACTGCCATAGTTGGTCCATACAGGTTTGGGTTTCACTGTTTGGTTCTTTGCAGTTTTTGACTCAAATTAGGTTTTCTAGCTACCATCAGAAGTCAACTAGATTCCAGAAAGAAGCTCCTACCTACTTCCAGAAAAGCTGGAAGCTGGAGAGAGGGAAAGGAAGAGGATGATAAATTGCAAAGAACCAAATTTTGATAGTGGTGTCAATCTCAAATAGAAATGGACCCCTGCAGGCTGCTATTGACTTCAAAAGCAACTTAACATTATCTGTGATTTATTGTATTGTATTTATTTTGTTAAATAGTTCCCAATTACACTTTAGGCTAGTTGGATTCCAGTCTGGCCTCACATTTGACACTTCTAATCTAGAGCAGAGGTTCTTAACCTTTTTTTTTTTTGTCATGGGCCCTTCTGGCAGTTTGTTGAAGCCCTATAGACGCCTTCTCAAATTAACATTTCTAAATGCATAAAATAAAACATATAAAATTATGAAAGAAATCAATTATAATGAAATGTAATTATCAAGGTATTTTTTAAATTTATGGATCTCAGGTAAAGAATAGCTGATCTAGAAAATTTTTTTCCTATAGCTGAGGAATTAAAGAAGAATTAGATTTCTACTTCAAGTTGATATTATTTTTCTTAAAGGTCTTCTTCTGACTTTCCTGATACTTTAAATTCAATGATAGATTTGTATCACTTAGGGGCCTCCATACATACGGGTTTTCTAAAAGCTACGTAAGAATGGGTGAGCATCTACTCAAAACCATACCCCATCCGTACAGAGTTACACTCTCCTATTAGTGAAGGTCACAGGCTGGAAATACACATGTCTAGGGCACATGATAGAGGGATAAAGTTTAGGGAATACACCTAAATTGCTAACATGTAACCAGGAAACTCATGCTTGTAAGGTTTCCCTCTGGAACACTTCCTTATGTTGTTGCTTCCTCTATTGTAGAGTCATTAATGCCAAATCAACAAGTATTTACCAAGCATCTTCTGTGTGTACTAAGCACTAAGGATGCAAGGAAAGACAAAAACAGGATCTACTCTCAAGGAGCTTATGATCTAATAGGTGAGACAACATACAAAAACTATGTACAAGTAAGATTTATGCAAGATAAATTATAGATAATTTCAGATGGAAGGCATTAGCATTAAGGGAGACCAGGAAAAGACTTCTCAAAGAAGATAGGATTTTATTTGGGACTTGAAAGAAGCCAGTGAAGTCAGGAGGTAGAGATGAGGGAGAGAAGTCCAGGCACAGGGGACAGTTATTGATAATACACAGAGTTGGGAAATGGAGTGTTGTATAATAGCAAGAAGCCATTGTGTCATTGGATCACAGAATTCACAGGGAAGGGGAGGGAGAAGGGTGTGTAAGATATGAAAAGACTGGAAAAGAATGGTGGGGAAGGTAATGAAATGCTTTAAAAGCCCAACACATATTTGGACTTTAAAAGCCCAACAGATATATTTGATCCTGGAAGTAATAGAAAGCTACTAGTTTATTGAACAGGTAGGATGATATGATCAGATCTACACTTTACAAAGATTATTTTGATAGTTTGAGATGTCCAATAGCCAACTGGATATTTTATACTGGAGGTCAAAGATAGGTCAGGGCTAGATGAAAATATCTGAGCATCATTAGCATAGAGATGATCATTTAATCCAAAGAAGATGATAAGATCCTCAAGCAACAGTATACAGAGAAAAGGTGTCTAGGACAGAGCCTTGAGGAACACGCACATGACTGAGAAAGAGTAGTCAGAGAGGTAGGAAGAGGACAATTGTCCAATCATTTCCTGTTAATTTATTTATTTACTTTTGCTATTATAAATAAGGTAGCTAATAATTTTTGCATGAAGATAGGATCTTTTGATATCTTTAAGTTAAATCCTAGTAGTGGGATCATTGGTACAAATGGTATGATCAGTTTTATAAACCTTGTTGAGTATTTCCAAATTGTCCTTCCAAAGGTGAGCACCATTTTATAGTCCTACCAACAAGAGCACCCATCTCTCTACCTACCTCAAATGCTATCATTTTTTTCCTTTTTTTCTGACAATTTAGTGAGTAAAGGGTAGTATTTAATGATTGCTCTGTGTATTTCTTTGATTATCAGGAAATTTGAACATCTTATCATGTGGTTATTC